CACTTCTGACACTTTCTGGGATTCCTCAGTTGGAATTAGTTTTTCTGATCTCTGATGTCCCCAAATGCTTTATTTTCATCAACATGGCCTTACAGTTCACTCAGCTTAACTAAACTTTAGACAGGCTTCTTCCCTCTAGGCTCATGACTTACCTTTTCTTAGAGCATTTACTTCTGACAACTTGTAAATTCTTTCTCTGCCCCTTTGTTATGTAATTTTTTTTTTTAGAATTGATTTTTTTAATGTCTTTAAAAAAATTGTAGTTGATTTACAATGTTGTGTTAGTTTCAAATGTACAGAAAAGTGATTCAGATATATATATATATATATATATACACACACATATGTATATAAGGTACACACATAGGTATCTATTCTTTTTCAGATTCTATTCCATTATAGGTTATTACAAGATATTGAATATAGTTCCCTGTGTTATACAGTAGGTCCTTGTTGTTTATCTATTTTATATATAGTAGTGTGTATCTATTAATCCCAAACTCCTAATTTATCCCTCCCTCCCCTTCCCTTTTAGTAACCATAATTTTGTTTTCTATGTCTGTGTGTCTGCTTTGTAAATAAGTTCATTTGTGTATCAATTTTTATTCCACATATAATTGATATCATATTATATTTGTCTGTCTCTGATTTACTTCACTTAGTATGATAATCTCTAGGTTCATCCATGTTGCTACAAATAGCATTATTTCATTATTTTTATGGCTGAGTAATACTCCACTGTATATATTTACCATATCTACTTTATTCATTCATCTGTCAACGGACATTTAGGTTGCTTCCATGTCTTGGCTATTATAAATGGTGCTGCTATGAACATTGGGGTACATGTATCTTTCAAATTAGAGTTTTCATCTTTTCCAAATATATGCTCAGAAGTGGGATTGCTGGATCACATGGTAACTCTATTTTTAGTTTTTTAAGGAACCTCCAGAGATGTAAATTTAAAAAAAAGAGGCTTTAACCTCCTCTCTCCCCTTCGAAATGTAATAATAAAGGAAGATATGCTCCCATCGCTCATTGTCTGCTGGGAGAGTAGGAGCCTAACCACCGTGGGTGCCTAGCTCCAGGTTGTAAAAGTACCCCCTGTCATGAAGATAAGAGAAAGTTTACTTTTCCTTTGGGTAAGGCCAGTTAACACAGGTGGTCTACAATGTCCTCACCCCAGCTCTTAAAACCTCTCCTACTATAAAATTCTTTGCTTCAAAGGACACAATCAACAGAGTGAAAAGGCAACTCATGGACTGGGAGAAAATATTTGCAAATCATGTATCTGATAAGGTGTTAATATCTAGAATATATTAAGAACTCCTATGACCTGACAACAACAAAAAAAACCAACTCGATTGAAAAATGGGCAGAGGAGGAGCTTCTGGTTTGGTGAAAGCATCCACATGCCAGGAGGGTGGGGCCACCCCAGTTCCTTGGGGACAGAAGCTCCTGCTCCTGGGACTCTTCCGTACTTCATCCTGTGTACCTCTTCATCTGGTTGTTCATCTGTATCCTTTACAATATCCTTTATTAATAAACTGGTAAACGATTTTTCGGTGGTTCCTATAAGCTTATTCTTCTGGATCATCATTTGTGTCATTTTATCAAGAAAGAGATTATTTCAAGGACTTTTTGAATTATGAGAGCTAATAAGCTACATAAGGGTTTTTTTTGAAACACAAGGGAAGGCTGTTTGGAGAGAATGAGAGAATAAGATGAAGGTGATGGCAGGACCAGTGCCTAAGTTGAGTTTGTAATAGTTTCTCAAGTTGCCTTGAAAGATATCTGCACTTTATTTCTGCTTTTATAAAAATTGGAAGTCAAATGAAGAATATAGTATGTGATAGATTGATATGTTTTTCATTACTTGAGAACATGGACTATTTTCTCTCCTATATATTTAGCTGTTTTGGCTTTGAATCTTCATAGTTCAATCAGTGTAATATTGAAGGAAGCCTCTTAGGTTTTACTGAAGACTCAGCCATGTTTTCTTTTTTATTGACTGCACTGGAACTAAATATATCTTGGCAGAGAAAACACTGCTTGCCACCATTTGAAGTACCCACTGCCCATGGACATAATTGTCCATCAACCCTATAGAGATCTGTAAATTTGTTTGGAAGGCCTGCAAATAAGATTCATCCAATGATAAGTTCTCCTAAGAAGAAGCTGGAGAAACCACTGAAAACAAATATACTTCTCTTATCACCTACCTTAGCATCCACTGTGGCTAGTTCCATGATAGAAAACAAAGGAAAATATTTTATGACAAATGGCAACATTTCTGACTGATTTTGGTTAGCTGTACCCTTAACAGGGAATAGATGTGTGTGATGTGTAATTATTCAACTGTTACTCTGTGTGTGTGTGTGTGTGTGTGTGTGTGTGTGTATAATACTGAGAAGTTCATATCCTAATATACTACATTTTAAAATTTTAAATAATGTCATCAAGACTATGTGTTGTACATCTACAGAGCCAACACACATGTCATAAATATTGTTATGAATGCTAATAATCATCTACATGTTTGGTAAATGCATTTAGGTTTAGAAATAACAAATTATTGGACCATCTGCTATATTTCTAATTGAAAGGCTTGGGGGAATGTATAAATACTCTAAACTCTTACTTGCTATGGAAAAATTTTACTCATCACTGAATTATTACTTGGCCTTTGAAAATCATTATTATTTGGCTCCCTTGGAGAGATGGATAATTTACCTAATATGGACAAGTACTTTCCTCCCAAGAGGGAGTAGTTTTACTAGCCTGTGCCTCAGAGGATCAGAAATATACATGGGCAAAGGACTTGAATAGACATTTATCCAAAGATGTACAATAAGCATATGAAAAGATGCTCAACATCACCAGTCATTAGGGAAATGCAAATAAAAACCACAGTAAGATACCACCTCACATCCTTTGGGATGGCTATTATCAAAAAACCCACAAAATAACAAGCATTGGCAAGGATGCGGAGAAATCAGAAACCTTGGACACTGCAGACGAGCATGTAAAATGGTGCAGATGCTATGGAAAACAGTATGGTCGTTCCTCAGAAAGTTCAACATAGAATTACCATGTGATCCAGCAATTCCACTTCTAGATATATTCCCCAAAGAACTGAAAGCAGAGACTTGAACAGATATTTGTACACCAGTGTTTATAGTAACATTATTTACAGTAGTCAAAAGGTGGAAACAACCCAATGTCCATCAACAGATAAATTCATAAACTGTGGTGTATACATTCAACAGAGTATTTTTCAGCCTTAAAAGGGAATGAAATTCTGACACATGCTACAAGATGGATGAACCTTGAAAACATTATGCTAAATGAAATAAGCTAAACACAGAAGGACAATTATTGTATGATTGTACCTAATGAGATACCTAGAATAGTTAAATTCATAGAGACAGAAAGTAGAACAGTTTATCAGGGACTGTGGGATGGGAAGAATGGAAAATTATTGGTTAATGTGTATTGAGTTTCCATTTTGGAGGGATTAAAAAGTTCTGGAAACAGGTAATTCTGATGCACATTTGTGAATGTACTTAATGCCACTGAATTGTATATTTAAAATAGGTTACAATAGTAAATTTTATGTATATTTTCCTATAATAAAAATATTTAAAAGCCACCAAAACAACTCTCCCATTATTTGTTTCAGCAGAGTTGAGTTTAGACTGTGTTCTGATCTCTCTTAACTATTTAGGTAGCCTTGAGTAAAGTCTTCCTTACCTTTTTAACTCTATTGGGGGCAATTTTTGCTTTGACAGTTTGTAATTCTGGCTTTGCATTGTATGTACCATGCATTATATATATAATATATATATATATATATATATATATATATATATATATACTTATTTGAACACACATCTGTTTCTCTGTGGTATTTTAAGCCCCTTGAGGTTGGGAACCATGTTGTGTTCATACTGTCATCATCCAGAATGCATTTCCTGGTGTCCTTACAAATTAGAGCCTCAAAAAATTTTGCTGAAAACAATTTAAATTGTTTCTATTAGGCACGGAGAGTTTTCCTGTGTACAAGTGACATCTTTTGGCACCAAATGGAATAGCTAGTACTGTATTAGTATTTTCCTCGAACAAATTGTTCTCTTTAAAAAAATCTAGATCCTATATATCTTTTTAAAAGTTTACCCAAAATAAGCATTGTTGCAATCAAAGGGTAACAGGCTAATGTTATTGCTAAAGGATGCTTTTGTCCCCTGGGTGGAGCCTACCTGGGACAATTCCATAGCCCCAACCAGGTCGGGAAAGTCACCACACTTATAAGAGATTCCCTAAATCATAATGATTAATTTATTAATAATTGGTATAAAGATGATAGTTGAAACCAAGGAAAAGGAGAAGTATGTGTGTTGGCTGTAGAGGCAAAAGGCTTTGCAAAGAAGCCTGAGAAATGTCACTTGTATTGCTAATTGTCTTGAGGGAAAATTTTGTGCTTAAAAAAACTATTTATAGTTGCCAGTGTTTTAATGAATATTCAATTTATTAAAATTGTAGACGTGTAAATTTAGATCTTTTAAGCCTTTAAGCTCAAGGTATTCATTTTGTTATAAACTTAGTCAATTTTGTTTTGACTAAAAATAGTCTCTTTTTCTAACTCCTCAGTGGATTCTTACATGCCATGAAATTTGAGAACCATAAGAGGGGTTTCTAAATTACAGTGAACGAATCTCTAATTCTTGAAGCATTGTCTCAGTGAGGCCATAAATAGTTAAGTTTTATAGATTTGGCATGAAGATTCCATAACATTTTCAGTTCTCATTGGCACAGGTCAAACCATAGTTTCTTTTAGCCAGCACTGGTTTCAGGAGAGTGTGTCTGACTTTCTTCCAAGGATGATCCTGATAAAGAAAGAAAGCAAGGGAAAAGAAAGCAGGAAGGGAAAACAGAGTTACACAGCAGGCCCCAGTGCAGAATTTGACTTTCTGTCTCTGCCGCTTTCTTCCTTTCCTCAGGCAAACTTACTGAACCAGTACTAGTCAAACTCTGAAGATCTCAAGGACTTGCTCTGGTTCGTGCTTGCATCTCTAATGCCTACTGAAATGTGAGTGCTTACTGTTCATTCATTCATTCAAGAACTATTTATTGAGAGCCTGTAATATACCAGGCATGGTTCTAGCTGCTGGCAATGTTAATACTGACCAAATAGCCAAAAATCCATGTTCTCATAGAAATATATCCTAGTGGGAAAAGACAGACAACCAAAAAATAAGTAAGAAGAACAGATAGTATGTTAGACGTATCAGTGTCCTCCAGGCAAATATCACCAGGAACACACCTGTAGTTGAACAACTTGGGTTTATTACTTGTTGCAGTGAGGGAGAACTATCACCACAGGGAACTGTGGGGGAGCTCAGTAAGAGGGTATTAAAAAGAACCTATTATAGGATTTAGGCCTTGGCTGGATAACTTTGGGGAGGTTCTAATAAGTGGAGATTTTCTTTGGATTCCATGTTGTCAGAAAGCAGGGACAATTTTATAATTGTGTCCTTGCCTGTTGTTGACATTCTGTGAGATTGTTTATGGCCAACAGGAGAACACCATGGCCTAGCTGTGAATATCAGGCCAATTTCCAGATTTCAGGGATTTTTGCTTTCTCAGATGATAAGTGCCCTGAAGAAAAAAAGTAAATCAGGGAGAAGAGATAGGGAGTTCTGGATGGAGCTAGGTGGAGTGGTTTTGATTTGCAAAAGGATAGTCAACAAAAGACTCCATGAGTAATTAACATGTGTGCAAAGATCTGAAGGAGGTGAGGAGGGTGAACCCACAAGTGAAAGGTGGGGAAATGAATAGAGGGGAGAGGGGAAATCCTTGACACATTCCAGGAACTGTAAGGAAACCATGGGACTAAATGGTTAGTTGAAGATAAGAGAAATGACCCAAACTAAGGTATTGCTGCTAGATACAGAGTGCCTAACCAGGTTATCCAGCACTGAGTGGAGTTCAAACTGACTTTAGCAGGTCCTGGGTCAAGACTGGACCACTTTTTGGTATGCTAATTAGGGGTATTGATCCAGGATTGGATAAGTCTAGACCAGATTATTTTAAAAAGCAGGTTTAAAATAAATAAAATAAAAAATAAAAAGCACGTTTAGGCAGACTTTATCTCTCCAGCATCGTCTAAGAGCAGTTTCTCAAACAGGTGATGAGCTTTGTGCTGGCACAGAGCATTCAAACATTTGCTAAATGCTTTAACTCCAGTCATGGGACCTCCCTAAACAGATTCCACATAGAGAAAACCTGAAATCATCTTAAAATGTGTGTTGCATGAGAATGAATTCTGAGTTATGAAAATGCTTCTTCTAAATTGTAACTAGACAAGCTCTCTCATAACAATACTTTAAACATTTACTGTGTAAATTTTCACACGTTAATCTCATTGAACATTTTAACTGCCTTAAGAAATAGGGTAGGAATCTTTCCATTTATATTTGGTTGAACCATATGAAATTGCTATATTTTACCATTTTTAACCTACAAAAATGGCAGTTACATTTGGTCCTATCTAAAAGGTGAGGAAATTGGAGAAGTTAAGAAAGGCAAAGGAGAGTTAGTGGTAGAGTTTCACAACTCCTATACTTATGTCTCCAGCCTAGATTACTCCCCTGGACTCCATACTCATCCACATCTCCTCTTGAAAATCTATCTAGTAAGCTTCAAGTTTAACATGGTAAAAACTGCTCCAATCAAAAGACATAGAATGGCTAAATGAATTTTTAAAAAGTATATGCTCTTTCACTTTAGCTTTAAGAATGTATACAGACTGAAAGAGAAGGGATGAAAAAAAGATATTTCATGCAAATAGACACCAAAAAAAAAAAAACAGGCTTAGTTATATTTATATCAGACAAACAGACAAAATAGAGTTTAAGCCACAGTCTAATAATAGGCAAAGAAGGTCATTATATAATGAAAAAGGGGTCGTTCCAAGACAATATAACATTTGTAAATATACACCTAACATGGGAGCACCTAATTATATATAGCAAATATTAACAGATGTGAAGAGAGAAATAGATAGCCATACAGTAATAGTAGAGGATTTCAATACCCCACTTTCAACAATGGATAGATCTTGTAGATAGCAAATCGGTATGGAAACATTGGTCCTAAACTACATGTTATATCAGATGAACTTAACAAACATATACAGAAATATGAACTTAACAGAAATATACAGACCATTCCATCCCAACGCAGCAGAATACACATTCTTCTCAAGCACACATGGAATATTCTCTAGGATAAATCACATGTTTGGCCACAAAATAAGTCTTAATACATTTAAGAGATTGAACTCATATCAAGCATCTTTTATGAAATCAGAAATCAATTATAAGAAGAAAACTGGAGAATTTATGTGGAGATTAAACAACATGCTTCTGAATAACCAATGGGTCAAAGAAATCAAAAGGGCAATCAAAAAATATTTTGAGACAAACGGAAAAACAACATACCAAAACTTATGGGATACAGCACAAGCAGTTGTAAGAGGTAAGTTTATAGGAATAAACACCTACATTAAGATGCAATAAAGATCTCAGATTAAAAAAACTAATTGTATACCTCAAAGGACTAGGAAAAAAATCTAAGCCCAAATTTAGTAGAAGGAAGGAAATAAATTTAAAAGAGTAGAAATAGAGACTAAAAAAAGAGAATAGAAAAGATTGAGCTGCTTTTTTTTTTAAAGATAAACACAGTTGACAAACCTTTAGCTAGACTCACCAAGAAAAAAAGAGACTCAAATAAGAAATGAAAGAGGATACATTGCAACTGTTACCATAGAAATATAAAGGATCATAAGAAATTACTATGAACAATTATATACCAACAAATTAGACAACCTAAAAGAAATGGATAAATTCCTAGAAACATACAACCTACAAAGACTAAATCATGAGGAAACAGAAAATCTGAACAGACAAATTGCTAGTAAGGTTATTGAAGTAGTAATCAAAACTCTCCCAACAAATGAAAGTTCAGGATAGATGGCTTCACAGAATTCCACTAACCAATTAAGGAAGTAATATCAAATATTCTCAAATTCTTTCAAAAAACAGAAGAGGAGAGGACGTTTTCAAACTCATTTTATGAGGTCAGCACTATCCTAATACCAAAGCCAGACAAGGACACTACGATAGAAGAAAATTACAGGTCAATTTTCACTGGTAAACATAGATGCAAAAATCCTCAACCCAATATTAGCAAACCAATTCAACATTACATTAAAAGGATCTTACACCATGATCAAGTAGGATTTATTCCTAGGATGCAGGATGGATCAACATCTGCAAATCAATCAATCATATTGACAAAATGAAGGATAAAACCTATATGATCATCTCAATAAATGCAGAAAAATTATGTTGCAAAATTCAACATTCGTTCATGATAAAAACTCTCAACAGACTGGGTGTAGATGGAACATACCTTGATGTAATAAGGGCCATATATGACAAGCCCACAGCTAACATCATAATCAATGATGAAGAGTTGAAAACTTTTCATCTAAGATCAGGAACAACACAAAGATGCCCATGACACTTGTGTTCAGTATAGTACTGGAAGTCCTAGATAGAGCAACTAGACAAGAAAATAAATAAAATGTATCCAAATTGGAAAGGAAGATGTAAAACTGTCTCTATTTGCAGATGACATATATAGAAGACCTAAAGATGTCACCAAAAAACTGTTAGGACTAATAATCAAATTCAGTAAATTTGCAAGATACAAAACCAATATACAAATATCAATGCATTTGTATACACTAATGACTATTAGGAAAAGAAATGGAGAAAATAACTCCATTTAGAATTGCATCAAAAAGAATGAAATACCTAGGAATAAATCTAACCAAGGAGGTGAAAATCTGTACACTGAAAACTATAAGACATTGATGAAGTAAACTGAAGACATAAATAAATGGAAAGATATTCTGTGCTCATGGATTGGAAGAATTAGTATTGTTAAAGTATCTATACTACCCAAAGTGATCTACAGATTTATTACAATCCCTATCAAAATTCCAATGGCATTTTTCACAGAAATAAAAGAAACTCCTAAAATATGTTTGGAACCACAAAAGACCCCAAATGGCCAAAGCAGTCTAGAGAAAGAAGAACAAAACTGGAGTTATCACACTTCCTGACTTCAATCAATATTACAAAGCTACAGTAATCAAAACAGTATGGTATTGGCATAAAAAAGGACACATAGATCAATGGAACAGAATAGAGATCCCAGAAATAAACCTATGCATATGTGGTCAATTAATTTACAACAAAGGAGCCAAGAATATACAATAGGCAAAGAACAGGCTCTTCAATAAATTGTGTTGGGAGAACTGGGCAGCCACACGTGAAAGAATGAAACTGGCCCACTATCTTACACCATACACAAAAATTAACTCAAAATGGATTAAAGACTTGAATGTAAGACCTAAAACCATAAAAGCCTTAGAAGAAAACATGAGGTGAGCTCCTTTATAGTGGGCTTGACAATGAATTTTTGGATTTGACACTAAAACCAAAGGCAACAAAAGCAAAAACAAACAAGTAGGGCTCCATCAAATTATGAAGCTTCTGCATAGCAAAGAAAATCATCAGCAAAATGAAAAGACAACCTATGGAATGGGAGACAATATTTGAAAGTCATATACCTGTTAAAGAGTTAATATCCAAAATATATAAACAACTCATATAACTCAGTAGCAAAAAACAACCTTATTAAAAAACCAGCAGAAGAATAGAATAGACATTTTTCCAAGAAGACATACAAATGGCCAACAGGTACATGCAAAGGTGCTTATCATCACTAACCATCAGGGAAATGCAAATCAAAACCACAATGAGAGATCACCTCACACTTGTTCGAATGGCTATCATCAAAAAGACAACAGATAACAAGTGTTGGTGAGGATATGGAGAAAAGAGAACCGTCATGTGCTGTTGGTGGGAATGTAAATTGGTGCAGCCACTATGGAAAATAGTATGAAGTTTCCTGAAAAAATTAAAAATAGTTCTGGATGATATAGCAGTTCCACTC